AGGCGCCGTTGGAGCCCGGCGGGGGCGGCCTGGCCGTGCTCGTTCTGTCCCGGGCGTCCCCGTGTGGGGCTTTTCCTCAGGGGAAACTGCCTCCTCCGTCGCCGGCCTAAAGCCGGTGGTGGCGTCAGGACCCTCCTCACCGCCACGGGAGGGAAGTTTCCGCCCTTTCGCTCGCCGTCCTCACGGTTTGTGCTGGTTGAGGGCAGGTATGGGGGAGTCAGGCTGAGCTGCCGGGCGGTTGTTCCTCAGGTATGGACTGGCGTTGTGCCACCCTGTGTCTGGCAGTGCCTTGTGCTGGTGTAGTCGCCTTTAGCCGACCTTCACGCAGCCCTGACCTCCCTGCTGCGCCTGGGGCCTTACCGGAGGAGGCTCAGGGCGATTGCTGAGTTGGTGTTCGACTCCTGGCCCTGGGCCCCCGGCTGTGCTCCACTTGTGTAAACTACGGGGCTTGTCTCCTCTGCCCCCAAGTAAGTGGGGTTAACCAAGGGCATGTTTTGTTCACCTTTGCTCAGGTGGCATCTTGCATGGGACCTGCTCCTTGTATGTGAAAATGAGCCTTGAGTCTTAAGGCCAATGGGATGAGTGGATAGAGTGACCACACTACAACAGGGTGCAAGCTGTGCTCTTGCACATAAGGTCATTTAAAAAAAAAAAAAGAAAAGTGTGCCTGTTTTTTTAGCTTGAAGACTGCAACTATGTCAACAGGTAGCTAAAGCATTAGCCAAAAGCAAGGAAAAAAACCCAAACCCATTATCAGAAGGCTTATACTTGCTATATAAAGGTGTGCATCTCCGAAACTTAATTTTAGGATGCACAAAATTGTCAAGATTGAAAATCAGTGAGCTTAAGCTGGGACTGTTAGGTAACACCGAAGGCAATCGTTAATATGTACGCAAACTAAAATTTATGCTGTAGAAGACAAACTGAGTGTGAACTCATATTCAGCAAATGTTGTTCTTCCAGTTTTTTATAAAAATTATATTATTTTTCATTCTGGTTTTAGGAATTATTCAACATTAATTAAAATGTCTTCCACCAAACCTCCAAATGAAAATGAAACAATCAAAGAGAGAAAACCTGGACTGAGGAGTGTTCAAACAACTATGCTGTTCCGCGCTGTGAACCCAGAGCTTTTCATTAAACCTGTAAGAGGCTCATTCTGAGAGAAAATAAATATGCTTGGAGAGACACGGTTGCTTTAAAATAATTATCACTATTCTGTGTGTGTTATATAACCCTTTCTTGTTATGCAAACCAGCCAGTAATGTAGCTAAAAATATTTTTACTTTTTTTTTCCAGTCTGATTGTTAAGAGCCCAGAACATTATATTGTTTATTCCAGTTTTTATTTCACTGTTATAGTGTCTGATTCTTTTGTACCTAGCCAAGTTGCTTTCAGAAAGGCTGTTTACAGGCATGTTACCCATGTAATTTGACAGGTTAAGTAATAGGAGTATTTAAAATACTCTTCAGTATTTAAAAAGGAGCAAATAATAAAATGCAAGCTTTTTGATATGAAAGGAAAGGATTTTTCATAGTTTTTCAATATTCTGGATTTTTCTTTTTCTGGCTTTATAGTTAAGTTGATGATACACTAGCAGAACCCAGAAAGACTGGATGAAATTTTGTGCATATAATAAACACAGATGTTGTAATGATAATACATGGTCTGTTTTAGAGGGATATAATCAAGGTCGCTTGGCAGGAGCAGCGTACATTGTACTAGTATGAATTCTGTTAGAAGTTTGTAATAGTAACCTTTAGTAATTGGTTTTAGCCTATTCATTCACGCTCAAGCAGCATTTGTGACCAGCAAAAGTCAGAACACTGGGCAATGCAACGAGAGTCATCTTTTTCATAGGGAATTCCTTTTGCTATCAGAAAATCAGATTTCCCTTTTTGCTGCTTATTAAAGTTATTTGGATCAGTCTATAAGAAGGCAATGATGATTTTTATAGATGTTGCAATACTTCACTGTTTACTTTCTAAGGTAAGATTGAAGAATAATGTCTGTGATGAATGAAAAATGTTTTGACTAAAAATGTGTACTTCTTTTTCTTTGGTCAGAACAAACCTGTGATGGCATTTGGACTCATAGCAATTAGCCTTTGTGTGGCCTACCTTGGTTATTTGCATGCAACAGTAGAGAATAAAAAGGACCTTTATGAAGCAATCGACAGTGAGGGGTCCAGGTATATGAGGCGGAAGGCTTCCAAGTGGGACTGAGAACGTAAGGAAGGAAATCAGCAAATCATTCACAGAACTTTTCAAGGCAACTGCTATTTTTTCTCTGTCCGTTCAAATCATGAATAAAAGTCTCTCTCTCTATTTACTCCAGTTTAAGTTTCTTTATAAAATGCCATGCCTGTACAAATAAATGGCAATTAAGATACATGCAAACATAACAGTGATTTTAAGAATCATTGTGTGCGATCTCCACGGTATGTCAGAAGACATGCAGTTAGCTCCAACATGCAGTCAAGACTGGTAAATACCTTAGAAATTTACATGATAGTTCAGCTCACTTCTCTCTTTGCTTTGATTAAGTGAAAACAGGGGTTTGTCTTTTTGTTTCTTAAACAGAAGGCATAATGTATTGTGTGTGAAAAGAAAAAGCTGATCTCTTGATCTGTTGAAAGTTGATAATTAACAGTGGTGCAAGTAAAGTAATTTTAAGGCAAGAAAGATCTGATAAAGCAGTCATTGAAGGGTTTTCTTTAATAAATAATAAATTTGTAAAATACTGGCCAAAATAATCCTTGGATGCTAATATATTCTTCCTTACAAATGAAAGAAAAAAAAAAAGGTCAGTAGCTAGGTAGAGGAGAAAAAGTGAAATGAGCTTGCTGCCAGGAGAAAGGCAGGAAGAACTTAGCTGTTACCTTTCCTGTTTGGCGTCATACAGCAGGTCAGTGAACACACCTGTATCAGCTTGCCAATCCATAGATATAACTCCAGGTTAGCCAGAGCTGTGGGGTGGTCTTGACTTGCCAGTAGGACTAGTTAATTTAAGCTGTATTCAAGACCTAAATTTCTCTATATTGCGAAGTACCTTATATAACATTAATTTATTATAGGTTACTGAGCTCACACTAAGGAATGGAGAGTCTAAAATCAACAAGTTCTTACAGAGAAAAGAACGTATCAACCTGAACAAGCCCAGTTTTGCTGAACAGCCCCGCGTGTGAGTTGGAGGTGACCCTCAGCAGTTTGCTGGTTGGTGCCGCTGTGAGTGTGGCTGGAGGGTATGTGGGGGTTGTGGCGTTTCCTTAGCTCATGGCGTGGTCCCCTGTGAGCCTTTACCTTGAGCAAAATGTATGGGTGGGTGCTTTCCTGTTCCAGCACAGAGGCCTTCTATGAGCTTCTCCACCTACTTCTGTGTGCCTGACATTTCCTAGGTGGTATTGCATTAACCAAACTCCAGAACACATGGTGGGAGGGCACATACCAGGCCATGCCCTTTTTCCACCATGGGCCTTTATTAGTGTTCTGGTTACATTTTTCCGTTCAGCTCCTCATGCTTACAGCCCCATCGAGTGTTCCCAAGAAGCTAAGACACCTCTTTGTTAACCCCCTTTAGGCCAAGGTGGCTTCTGTCAGGCCAGAGAAGAAAGAACATGCAGGGACATCTGCTTTGCCACTCTGGAAATTGCTCTGGGTTTTGTTATTGAAAGACTTTGTTATTGAAAATAAAAAAGGTGACTGACTGCCTTGAGGGACAGCAGTTGCTCTACGGGTTTTCTCTGTATCTCCCTCCAAATCCTTCCTTTTGAACCTGTGATTTTCCTCCTGTTTATGTTTTATAGTTACCTGCATCTTAAATTCAGCTGGGCCTTGGTTTTGCTACCTCCTTCCTGCGAAGCAAAGTAGGCTCTAACTTTGATAAAGCTATAAGAAAAATAGCATTTTTACAGCCTTTAAAAGCAGATTTCCCTCTGTGAGCCTAGCTGCCTCACAACAGCAAGGTCTTGGGCAAATCCGAAAGCTTGCAGGTGAGGAAACTACTTGCCTTTTGATGAGGCATTTCCAGGTGAATTGATGAAATATTCAGAACTGTCACATGCTGTGCATATCCTGTAGAATATGTTTTGTTTGATAGGATGTGGTGGATCTTTAGAATTAATCTGTTCTTTTAAAAACGGTCACACAGGATTTTAGCTCTCTTCAGTTCATTAAAATGCACGAGTCTCATGTTTGCATGAATTCAACTAAATTATTCCAAAAACAGTGCTACAGTAAGCATTTTAACCTGTTTTTCTGCAGATTTTTAAAACACACACTTTGGTCCTTGTACCTGCAGATGATTTGCCCAGTCTTTGATTTTCATATATTTGGGAATAATGCAGGATTTGTGTTCTCAAATTTTTGAATTATGTTTTCTGAAGTGACTATGGATCTGGAAGTTGCTGAGGGAAAAGGAGGAGGGGTGTGTGTGCAAAAGAGAAAGGTGTGGGACTGACCTGGGCAGGGTCTAGGTGATGCGCATGCCAACAGCGCTTCATAGAAAAGCTGTCTGAGGTGGGGCCTCTTATCTATTGCATGAAGTAAAGTCCCGTTAACCAGGTTAATTTAGAACTGCCCAGGCTGGAAGAGAAGTGAGTGTTTAGACTTGTCCTTATTAAGGAGCTTTTCCATATTTGTGGCAACTGCTTGTACAAGTAACTCTTTTAACGCTACAAAAATTATATATAAGAAGGAGATAAAGCAGTGCAAATACAGAGAAGAATGTAGTAAATTAATGGGTGTTATAGTATCAATACTGAAATTTGCTGTTCTAAGTACGTGATTTATATACATAAAAACGATGTGTGTGGAGGGATTAAAGGGAAAAAAATCCCACCCAAACACAACTACATCAGTAGCAGAATCTGTTCACTCCACTCTGAAAGTACGGCTCCCCTTATGCATCTGGAGGGTAAGCAAACAGAACCAATACAATTTCTTTTGTTCCACTTTTCTCAATTTCATCTTCAGTATAGTAATAATTATCTACAATGGATGATAGCTGGCTTGACAGGAACTGTGAGTCAAAATGATTTCCTGGGCAGAGGCTCTTTTAGGTTTTTGCCAGTTCCTTATTGTTTGTGCTGGCTTTCACATCTTTACCAAGAACAGCCACAAAATGCTATGACTCAAATATCTGAAACAGTAGCTATTGTACTGCTCCTAAAATCTCCTTAGGTTTGAATAGAAATTGTTGACACTCAACAACAACAAAAATGCATTAAAAAGCCAAAGCCTGCTGTGACACTGCTTAACTATTAGCAGGGAAAGTTAGTTCTTTGTGAGCAAAGCCAGCCCTGCCCAGTAACAGTTGCTATGTAGGGAGCTGTATTAAGGCTAGAAGGGGTCACCCCATACAACCCTCCCTCATCATCTGCCTACAGCATGTTACTGAATTGTCAGCATGTGTGAATGCTAATCTGAAGGCAAATGTTTTGGCTAATTTGGTAAAAAGTAATGGTCGATGATTTTTCTCTCTTCATCAGCTTGCATGTTTTCTGTAGCAACAATAAGCATTTACGCCTGCAAGCAAGAGATCTATCAGGAATCAAGTTCTGACATTTTAGTAACTGTATTACAGAATAATACTACAATACCACAATGATTAGAAGTCCTGATCTGGACTCCTTTGTTTGTTGTGCAGTATGTTCAAAAATAATACCACCACCACCTTCCAATGCTACTTTTAATCGGATCCGGGAGTATAAGCCTTTCAGAACACGGTATTACACTCATCGTGATATACTGGGTAAGTTTGTTCCTGAAATCCTTTCCTCGCAATCTGAGATTTAGGAAAACTCCAAGAGCTGTTGTATCCGTCTGTTCCTGACAGTCATGAAAGCTTGGTAAGAAAGAACTGCACTTACCTTCTGAACATTAATAAATTCAGCATATTCTGAGGGGGAACAAGGTCAGCCATCCTGTGGTGCATGAAGGCATTCAGATTTGGGCATAATGAAGTGCAAAACAATTAGCTGTAAGACCGTTAGCAAATGTTTTCTAAGGCTGAAGTAGTTTGGGAAGAACTATGCTTGACTTAACATTTGCAAAGATCATCCTCTTA